AGATCAAGTTTTCTAAATGGCACTTTTCCAACTGCGCTTTACGGATCACGTTCTCTTCATAAAGCGGGTTTTCCTCTGGAGCAAAGATGCTTTTCTGTTGGACGTCACGTTAGAAACCTTTTTTATCAGTCATTGTCCAAAGCGAACTATGAAAGGAATGCAATTCATCAAACTCAATCTGACTTTTTTTCTTTTTATATAAAATGTTTTTGTTTGTTTTTAAAAAAAAAGGAAAAATATAAATAAATAAAAAAAATATCTAAAGAAACAAATCTACTCTCCAAACCTTTTGGCTTTTTTTATTGAGGTGTTTCAACATTTCATTGCTGGATTCCTTCATTTTGCTCATATGTACCAAACCATTAATGGAACAAAATTCAGTCTCTAGTGGTGGGAAATAGAAAGCTGTGGACACCGTCACTGATTCAGTTTTTATTAACAAAACTATCAAAACTCTAACGAGTCTATACCAGACTGCAGGCGGGACGTGTAACCAAGCTTTGTTTGGGTTTCACATGTGAACACGTCGCATAAATCACAGCTACTTAAAAAACCGAGTGGTGACTTTAAACTGATCCATAAAGCCGGGAGAGTTTTCGGCTGGTCTGACCCGGTCTGACGCACACGAATCAATGGATTCAAAAACCTTTCAGATACAAAAGCACAAACATCAGGATTACACAGAAAAAACGCAACGTTGATCATAAAATACCAAAAACATGTCAGAATCCATAAAAAAAAAGCAACTTCCGAGTGGTGAGAAAATCTCAGCAACGTTCCGTTAGCTGCCTGCATGAATCCGCTGATTCTCAGGGAAGCTGCAGCGTTTCAGATTTCAACGTCGCTCTCTTTGTCGTTGTCATGGTCGCCATCGTAGAACTCGTTTGCTGCTTCGGGCCTGTGGGAACCACAAAGACGTCATGTTTACAAAGTCCTTCAAACGTGGAGGAAGCATGCTAGCACGGCTAACCACTGACCGGGTGTAGTTTTCCTCGGCTCCCCTCTCATCGGGGTCGGGCTCGTCGTTGCGCTCGTAGCTCAGCATGTCTGAGGGAACGTCGTGGATCTGCACGCTGGGTGCGTGGTTCAGCATCTTCAAGTTCTCAAACACGGTCTGCCGGATCTGCTCCAGGTACTGAGGGACACAAACACAGCTTCAGTTTTCCCAGACTGAACAAAACAAGCTTGGCAAATAGCTTCTTCATATCTATTTAGAGCTGGACTCATCCATCATTTTCACACTGAATCGTCCCTAGAATGTTTTCAATGAGGAAACAGGCCTGATGCTGCGCTCAGACCAAACACTTTTAGAGTCAACATGGAGCCTAAAGCCTGCAGCACGCTGAGCACAGGGTTACAGATGCCTCAGGAGGAGCGAACCTCGCTACTTTTCTTCGCCAGTATTCAATGTCAGATGCAGTGGAGAGAGTGTGGAAAAAATGTGTCTAAGATCTCAAAATTTGTGAATGAGTCAATAATTTAAAACAAAAGTAAGATTTGTTCTTTGTTCTCGGCTCGTACATTAATCTGACAACTGATCATCTGTAGAAATACAATGTTAGACATTACAGAACAACACCTTCATCAGGGGTCATAGAGTCATACTTCAAAATGTTTTGTTTTCGAAATCAGTGATTTGTATTTTTAGAAAAGTTGTAAATTTCTAACTTCTGAACGTTATTTGCAGATGAAACATCTGTTACATGCACGAGCTAACAACAAGAAACAAATACAATTCTTAAATTAAATATTTTGACTTATATTTAGAAATTTAGGCCACAAATAAATTTTTAAAAGATGTTTATACTACCCCATAGTTTAAATGTTTTAAACATAAAAGTCCACTTTAAAATGTCAGCGAGGTCATCATGATTAGTAATATTGTTTATCAGCAGACCCTGGATCAGCCTCCCTAACAGCTTGATGCGACGTGTTGAGTTGCTTAAAGTTCGCTAAACACGCTCCACCATAGAATTTGCATGCAAACCAGACGCCCCTGAACGCAGCATCAAAGCGTCTGTGAGAACCATCGATCTACCTGTCTGGAGTTCTGGTTTTCTATCCTGGTGCTCACATCCGGATGCAGCGTGAAGTCAGGAGCAAAGTACTCAAAATACTCTGCAGGAGAAAGAAAGAATTTCAGATCATTCTTGGTGTTAGCTGTTCATATCCTGCTCTACAGACTTTAAAGAAGTCTGGTTGAAAAAGCTGCAGGTCTTGTAGCTCACCGCTATAAGGCAGCTCATCGCTGATGGATTCCTCCAACAACAGAGACGTTTCAAAGGTCCTACAGGTAACGACAGAGAAGTTTACCAGGAGGCTGGACTTTTAAAGTTGTTTTTCCATCTCTGGTTTGTCTTTCACTCACCAGCAGCGGGCCACATTCCTCACCGTGTATCCTCCTCCTCCGAGAACCAGCAGAGGGATCTTAAAACTTTTTACAAACTCCACACACTCCCTGAAAAGAACACGGAGAATGAGGCAGGGATCAGCGAGTGGAAGCAGCAGCGTTTGGTGCAGCAGACTCACCCGTGTCCTCGTATGCTGAGGTTGAAGCAGCCCAGTCTGTCGCAGCCCAGAGAATCTGCTCCGCACTGCAAACACAAACAGTTTCATGAACGAACGGAAATCGACCTGAGCTGCTTCCAACGGCCCTAAAACAAGCGACCAACCTGCAGGACGATGCAGGTGGGCTGGTAATAATCCACCACCTGCTTGATCACCGGCTGGAAGAGCTGCCTGTAGCCTGAAAGGAAGACAGCCGTAAACACAGCGAACCTTTCAGACGACCGACCGACCGACCGTTTCACTCACTCTGATCGTCGATGCCGTCTCTCAGAGGAACGTTGAGGCAGTAGTATCGGCCGCTCTCAGCCCCCACCTCGTACATGTCACCTTCAGGGAACACCCACGCCTGCTCAGTGCGTCCACACATACAGAACGACTATAACATCAAGCTGCAGCACTTACCTGTTCCGGGGAAAAAGTAGTTTCCGTATTTATGAAACGACACGGTCATGACGCGGTCAGTCAGGTAAAAGGCTTCCTGAACGCCGTCGCCGTGGTGAATGTCGATGTCGATGTACAGCACCCGCGGATGGTACCTGGAAAGAAGAAAAAAACGAGTCAAATGTGTGAAAACAAACGAGCAGCATCATTTAGAGGAAGCAGGGTCGTACTTGAGAAGCTCCAGTATGCTGATGACGATGTCATTTACATAGCAGAAGCCAGACGCCTGCAAACACAAAGCAGACATGATGGAGTTAAACTGGTTCCAGCCGGCCTGAAGCCAATGAGGCTGAATCCTGTGGCGTAGATATCGGTAAGCAGAGACAGCAGTTGCCTACGGGAACACGACCTCTTAGGGGCCTCATCACTGACACCTGGTAGGCCCTCTACGCTATTGTAGACTAGGACGTCTATTTGCACATATAATGGTGCAAAAAATTCCTCTTAACCCACCTGATACAGAAGTGACTGACCGGACCAGACCGTATTTATACCACAACACATGCTAGAATTCGACATGATGGTGAGCCGTTTAAACACGACACCAATAGAAAAGCAGACAGTGGTACTTTTAATTACTATGTTAATAACTGTGTATAGTTCATTAGACGGGTGGTAAAAAAAAAATATAATAAATTAGCTGAAATGGATCCTAAAGTACCAAGTTTGTGTTGGAGAAACTGGCTCTGCACTCCCCCATCATACACACGTTCTGGTCATGCCACAAATTGCAAACCTTTTGGGATGATGTGTAGAAGGCGATAAACCAAATCTTTCAAGAGGTTATCCCCAAGGATGTAACGGTTGCAATACTCAGTTGGGCTGCAAGGACGAGTTAAATCATAGGTCTTAACTGTTCTTCTTACAACAGCCCTGAAATGCATCACAGTTAAGTGGAAACAACCTTCCTACAACTTATGGGTCCAAATTGTTAGGGAATTATACCAAATGGAAAAGATAACATACTCGTTAAAACTCCAAAAAGACATTTTCAGCAAACGCTGTGGTCCTGTGAAAGATTTACTCAAGTAAAAAAGTCTCACAACACAATTTCATACTATAAAAACTGTTAATTGTCCTTGTATGTTGTGTATTTGCTCTGTTTTAGAATCAATAAAATTTAAGATATAACAAAAAAAAAACACTCATATAATGTGTTTTAAACCGCAATAAAGATCTTAAAAGAACGATGTATTTGAGTGTTTTATTTGGAATTATGGACTTGAAATTATGGGTAATCCAGAGTGTAGATTAAAACCATAACCGTTACATACAATGTTAGCGATGATGGATACCAAAAACAGGTACTTAAGCGGATTTCAGAAAATAAAAGAGGAGCTGCTGGAAGAACGGAAAAAACTTCCCAAAAAAAAAACATGTTCTTTCAAAAAAAAACCGAAGAGGGAGAGGAGGACGTTGCTGCTACAGCGAGTAAAGATGGCGACCAGGAGATGAATGGAGAGAGCGTCGGGGAGGAGGGGGGCTGTGAAGCTCAAGGTAGCCCCATGGTTTGTTGTGCTAACATGTGGTGTGCTGTCTGCAACGGTTCAATTCAAGGTGCACAGTATCTATTTTTCCAGTGTGTGATGTGTGATAATATACTGCTGAGAATTGCATAATTATATCTTCTTGGATGATTCATGGAACTGTCGCCGTATCCTGAACCTTTATCAGGTGTTGTATTTCATTTGGGGCCCACCCAGATAATGTTGCTTATGGGTCTATTGTTGTGTCGTTACGCCATTGGCTGGATCTACTGTTTGGTCTCACCTCAAACTTTTTGGCATGATGTAATCCTCCAGCCCAGTTGATGGCGATATCACAAATCTGAAAAAAAAAAAAGGATTTTAGCAACAAAGAAATGCTTCATGGAGACTCAGAAATAAAAAATGGATAAACGTTTTAAACACATTTAGGAAGGATTGAGCTTATAGAGACTTTGAATGAAGCAACACTTTTTCCAAGACCTGTCTAGAACTAAACTAAAGAGCAAAGCTGGGAGAGAAATGCTTTTTATCTTTAAAATAAAGCTGCATTTTTTTTAATTATAAATCAAATTTGAAATAAACAATCCAAAGTGTATATTTCATTATCATTTCCAAGACTCATTCATTTGTGAATAAGTTAAAATAGCGTTTAACTGGGACATCTATAGAAATTTAAATATTAAACCTTCCTTTGTTATCATTTTAATTAAGTAACAGAATGAGCAGCGTTGGAGACGCAAATGAAAAAGCAGTTTGGATGATTTAGCAGTAAAGACAACATTTTTATGTTGAGGCTTTCTCCTGGACTGAGGAATCTATTGTTCTGCTGGACGTTAGCAACGTTTCTATTGGTCAAGAGCGAGCGTTTGTACTGAGGCTGATGAGAAAGAAACTAAAATTGGACAAAACAGTAAAGTTAAAACTCAAAACCTTTTTGATCAAGAACTTTTTCAGTTTCATTTATCAGCAGCCCACCTTGCCCTCTCTGTCACAGACAGACCTCACCCTCTTTATATAATGTAAATTCCTTTACTGTCCCACAATAGGGAAATTCACTCTCTGCATTTCACCCATCCTCTTGGGAAGCAGTGGGCTGCCATTGTGCGGAGCCCAGGGAGCAGAGTGGGAGTGTTTTTCTTCCAAAACAAATAACATGTTTGTTATATAGATCTCATCAAAGACCTCAAATAAATAAGTGGCTGTGATGTTTTTGATAGAAGAGGCCTGAATCTGCTACGTTCAGATATTTGCAGCATGTTTGTCACCTTGTGGTTGAGCTGCGTTGCTCCCTGTAAAGATGCTCCTGTGTATCTTGAGCAGAACTCAAACAGACCTGGAAACACAGGACTGAAATGCAAGAGTATAGAGTGAATATAGATTAGTCAGAGTCAGTTATCCTGCAAAACAAAGCGAGGGGTGAAAAACAGCGGCTCTCACCAGTCATCTCCTACATTGAAGGTGTTGAGGCTTTTTGTGAAGCCCTGCATGTTGTTGGGGCTGACCTTCTGCAGGAAGTCGATGTAGTCCTCAGAGTGGAAGCGACACATGTCATGCTGTGAGGCTTTGTACGGTTTAAAAACCTGGTTGGTGACAGTAGATTACACGTTACCACAGGCTGTAAAACAAAACAGCTCTTAGTGTTGACCGCCACCTACCATCATTTTCTTGTAAAGCCCATAGTGCAACACCAGGCTGTGTGTCAAAGACAAACGGTGAGGCTTCATGGGATGCCCGGTACCTGTTGGAAGCCCACATCCCACATTAAACACTCAATTAAATTCAGTTTATTTCTATAGCGCCGATTCACAGCACATTTCATATCAAGGCACTTTATAGTTCACCAGATCATCCAGTCACATTGATTCAAAGTTTTCTATTTAAGGAAAACCAGCTGATTGCATCGGCTCATACACTAGAAGGCAATCCCTCACACTAAGCATGCTTGTAGCGACAGTGGAGAGAAAAAACTCCCTTTTAACAGGAAAAAACCTCCAGGAGAACCAGGCTCAGTGTGAGCGGCCATCTGCTGAGGCCGACTGGGTTTCAAGGAGACAGAAGCAGAGATAGAAAGGGCAACTGTAGAAAGCAGCCCCGTCCAGGAAACTAAAAGTGTCAAGTAACAAATACTTCATAACTGTACTTAAGTACACTTTTTAGGTATTGGTACTTTACTCCATAACTTATTTTTCTTCCTACTTCTGACTTCTATTCATTAAATTTTCACACAAGTATCTGTACTTTCTATTCCTTACATTTTTAAAACAAAAGTTACTCATTACTCTTGGCTTCGGTTTACTGTTTATAAATATCTATTTCACGTTTAAATTGTCTATATAACATATAACAATGTTATACATTATAAAACATGGATGCATAAACACCTAATTTTATTTCAGTGTTAAATTCTATTTAAAGTAACAGATAATTAAATACGTCTCCAGCTCTTTACTGGTTGATGATTTTCTTTATTCTGATTTTTAATTTGTGACCCTCTGGTTTAATGTTTATAAATATTTATTTCACGTCATGTGCGCCATCCAATGCAGATCATTGGCTCCATCCACATCTAGTGAAAACTAGTGTCATTGGATTTGGAAATTGGAATTGATGAGTCATATAACGCAAACACTCATTGGTTAGCTAAAGGAAATCATCAGAAGCAAGCAGGTGTTCTTCAAACTGAAAACATGAATTGTCTATGCCATGCTACGATGTCGGATTCAGAAAAAGATGTTGAAATGTCTGAAAGGTCGGACACAGGGAAGAGCGTATCTGGAGATAGAGACGGAGACCAACAAGACCTCCCTCATCTTTGGCCCTATCTCAATTTTTTTTTATAAATAGTCGAAAAATTCAGCTTTCAATTCATATAGTGGCATCTGGCTGTTTTTTTTAAAAGGTTACTCATCCAGCCAGTCACAGTGAGAGAAACAGGACCACACCGAAAAAACGGTCTTACTGTTACTCTATTATGATGTGACACTTTCCTTAAGGACTGTGATTAAAAAACACAGATCTTTAGAAAACATCAGCTGTTAAACTACATTAAATCGCTGTTAAGGTTATTTTCCTAGTAAGATTTAAACACATAACACAAAAAATAATGGAAAATTTTGACATTTAGCCAGAAATGAGCAAAAACACTGAAAAAAGGAAAAGAAAGAAGAGACAAAATAATGTCTGAAAAGCAGCCCAAGCATCTAATGCAAAAAATCCTCAATAAGTTCAGATGTCTTCAAAGATCTCAGGAAAGTCTGAATTTTGGGGGATAAACAGTCACATTGACATGAATTAGTGGCTCTGTTAAATAAAAAAAATAAAGTAAATATATAAATAATAATAAAGATTTCAATGTGATGCCATAGGAACCAAAGTAAGCTAATAGGCTAGTCTGTATCCAACAACCGGTATCTTTAATGCAAAGATCGAGGATTATTAAAAATAAAAACGAGCACTAAATAACTTTAAATGCATCAGAAAATGTTCTATACGTCGTCCGTACAGGCAATGAATAAAAAACAACAGATTTGATTATAGCTGTTAGCATGAAGCTAGCTAATAGCCGCCTCCTTTCATGGTACCATAAAGACTGACCGTAATGAAAGTTGCCCACGTCCGGGTCATAGAAATACGATGTCCTGTTGGTCATTATGAAGGGGTTTTGTGTTTGAGTTTATATGAAAAACGACTTCTGTTCCTGCAGCTTTATGTGTCACATATTTGTATCAGCTAGCAGCTAGCCGTAAACACCACCGCGGTGCCAAACCGCAGGAGGAAACGTCATCAATCGGCGACATGCAGGGCGGAGAGAGGAGGGGATGAGGGTGACGGTGTCGAAACTGTACAAAAGCAAAAAAAAAGTGTCAATATTTACATTTATTAGATTCCTTGTGCATATAGCAAAAATATTAATACACTTTAATATTTTTTATTTTCTGGTTTAGTAGGCCTACCATGTTAGAGAAATCAATTTGACTGTATGAACCGGTGAATTGTAAAGTGCCTTGAGATGACCTGTTGTTAATTGGCGGCATATAAATGAACTGAACTGAATTGAATAGAGCATACAGTAAAAGTGCAGCACAAAAAGTTAAAGTTTGAAACAGTTGGGTGTTTAGAAACCTTTGACATCTCTGGCTGTGCTTCAAAAGGATCAACTAACTATTCAGGGGGAAAAAAGTAACACAAATATCAACATGGTTATAAACATTTATTGAGTAGATAAAACTCCTTATAGGACAGAAGTTCAGAAGAAGCCATTGCCATCCCAACAAGGAGAGTAAGACACTTGGTCAGTTGTAAAATAAGTTGTATTTTGAAGATATTTGTGTCCAAGCATATTCATAGTAAGTTTGGTGGAGGGAAAAAAATATATTACATGAAAAGAATTGCAAAAAGCTTCAGAAACGTCAGATTGAGGTCAGACTGACTGCACTGATAGCCACTAAACACAGAAAAATCCTGAATATAGGTGGCAATATTCCTTGTGTCAAGCCCCAGAGTTATCATCAGCTACACTAGAGTGCTAGAAGTATTCACTCCACTGATTGATTCATATATGAGCTTAAGTGGAATCCTATTCCTAATTCATAGAGGTGGCCATGGTCACCCCTAGACCAGGTGATCCCATCTGGACATAATTCACAAGCAGTTCCTCTCTAAAACAGAGGGTGGCACCAGTATTACACTAAAGTTGAACGCTCTAGCTAATTAAGAATTCAAGTTGTTTGTATATTAAGAATAAAATTACAACATACTGACATTAAAAATTATAAATACAGAATTTTTGCTCCTTTAGTTTGTGTTTTATTTGGCAGAAGAAAATGTTATGTTATCGGGAGCTGCTGTCGTCTAGCAGTGTTCTATGTTATTACAGATGAATATAAAATAGATCAAAAGTATGAATTAAAATTTGTTTATATTGATATAATAATGCTGCAATTGTTGATAAATGTTTAATGGAAAATCTTTCCAGCAATAAAGTTAAGAAACACTTGTCATTTTTTTGGATCCTACCATTGCATATAAGAATATCCCATGTAAACTCTGGTCTATATCTTATTTTCTTCTGAGGCCTTCCTCTTCCCCTCATAAACTTGAAAACCTTTTTATCCATAATCAAAGTATAGAGCTCAAGCTCACTGGTCTCTGCCTG